CGTGTTCACCGTCATAGGTTGTACGTTTTACCGTACATCAGCGCAGTCTTGACGTCAGTCGTTCCACGTCAGTGATTCGATATGTCGTACAGTACAGTACGACAAGACAGTAGTACAGTACAGTATACTGTAATCATGAGACAAAAGCGCTCAAGTCTGGCGGTCATTTCTGAATGTACAGGACTGTACCGCGAAACCATATACAGTAATAGCGCACATTACCGCAGTATCATTCGTAGTAAGTCCAAATCTTTGGCGAACCGAAGACATCGAGCAAAGACAGAGAGTTACCTTGCCATTTTTTCCTATTTTTAAGACTTTTGTTGAACTCTTCTTAACTTTTCTGACTTGATCTATTTTCCTACTCATTATTTTCAATTTGCTCGGCCATTTATTTGGGTAAATTTAGACTTGATCATCTTGGCCGTAATCAATGTCAACTCAGTGTAAATACATGGATCATACGCATTCATAGCGCTGATACGATCGATTCTATGGATATAGTTAGCAATGACTGATATTTTTGAACTGCAAGAAAGTTAAAGAAAAATACATTGATTGGTAATTACATTTGAACAAGCAGGAAATACCTCGATAGAATCCTCTTGTTTTGCAGAAAATTGAAAAAGGAAAGTCTTTACTCATAAAAATTGGCAGTAAAAATTGGAGTTGAAAGAAAAGGATATCTTGCTAGTGATACTATTGATACTACTGTGCTATCCACTCCTTCACTGTGATAAAAGAAGCCTCTTTCAATAGGTATGTCAAATAATAAAAACGAATATGTATTACTATAAGAATACAATAATGATAGGAAAAAACAGCAAGAGGAAAATTCACTGAATGACATCTCGCAATCCAATTTCTCTCAACCTTGACATATTGATGTACATTAGCGCAAAATGGCTCTATGACATGACTTTCTCTATCGAAATTGAATTGAATTCTCACTGCAAGAGTACCCTAAATTGAGTCAAAAAATAATTCTTGAACTGGTTTTACAGTTAAAGAAAAATAATAATAATAATAATCATAACAAAGCCAGTTAGTACAGTATATTTACAGCTTGTTATATTCATCATGTTGATAAAGAATAGCGTTATTATCGGCCATAGACTTTGTAGACCAGCTAATGACAGAGACATAAGATAAAATGATTGACTTGTACTCCACTGTATACTGTACAGTACACTATACGTTCATATAGTGTACGTCGTATACTATACATTTTTACCAACGTGAGATAACGAAAATAATTTCCACAAATTTATATCGTATAAAGCTATCATTGACAGGGTGATCATTATGTGATCTGAATTAGACCAGTAGGAACTTCTCAATAAAAACTTACCAGCATAAAAAAGTGGTAAAATTGCTATTTGCCAATCAGAGTAAGATAGAAGAGTTTGAGAATAACACAAGACAACCTTTCAAAAATTTTTTTTTCCAGTAGTGCGCTATTAACGGCAATCATATCCCAACATTGCTATCATTGCAATCGTCTACAGCGGAGTTTTATAATAATATAAACAGCATTCGAAAATTAATAAAATAGTGTGCATAAATATAAAAATACTAGTTGGGAATTTGATGTTTCGCAATTGCAAGGTGTCACTTTTATATATAATATATAATTTCGTATAATCAAACCCTCTTTCATACTTCCTTCCTCTTTGCCATCCAAAAAGTCATTCATCAACATAATTAAAATTAAAATTCATGGTGTATATTAGAGTATATAAGTGGAAAGAATCCTGATTTAAATTACTTTATCCGTGGTGAAACTAGTAATTGCTTTTGAAATATGCGATTTACAGTTAGTTAAGTTAGAGCCCATCCCATCTTTAAAAATATATAAGACCGCTGAACACCGGTTAGGCATACTGTCGATGATACTAGTCATAGTACTGTACGCTAACATCAGGTGAGTACACGCTATACGATATCATCATTTTGTACTGTCATTCTAACTCTTTTCTCCACTGGAAATCTTAATCCTTCTTCTTTTCACGCGTGCGATTTTTTTTATCTAATATTGTAACATAGCTACTAGACTACAATTTAGAATCCTAATACCCCTTAGAAGCTTGCAAAATCTTGCTCTACATAATTTATCTATTACAATTAAAAACAAAATTTCTTTCTTTCTATCTCGAGATGATTTCATGCCGTACTCTAATATTAACGTTCTGTGACGCGATATGCCACTCAATTACGTGTTAGACAGTCAATTTGTTAATTACCATAATAATTTAAATTTTAGTTTTTCCGATCGATGCATAGTTGAGTAGTGACTATGAAAATCTTGGAAACCGTAAAAAAAGTTGTCATTTTTACTCCTAGCCATGATTGATATGAAGTATTTCATTTCTCATTATCTTTTTAACCATATAAATTACTGAATTTTTTAACTTAGCTTTGTATCCTCGACTCCAAGTCGATATCTTTTTATTGGTAGTGTTTACATGTACTAAGCAATGAATACGTATCTCTAACTCTGTAAAGTACAGTGTACTGTAGTTATCAAGATACGACAACACACATTTTTCTATATCCTAGATATTTTTAGGTAATGATACTACAACAATCCACTACTTTTTATACTCAATATTCTTCTATTCGGTAATATTGAGATTTTAATATACAGTACAGTACAATACCATTACTGCACTGTGAGTACTTGTGTAGTTGATCAGTTATGATCGTTATATCCTACAGTAGCCTTGAGGATAATTACATACGCGTATTATGAACGTGGACTTAAAGATAGAAATTGTTCATTTCTTCTCAGATCTTTCTTCAATAAATCTGGCATTGCGCTAAGGTTGTCGTGTGTACGTTGTCTTTTTAGTTATACTGTACTGTACTGTATACTGCTCGTTTTACAGCAACAACTTTATAGCTACCCATCGATTAAAGATAATGTACTGTACAGTATAAGACTGATTTACTGTGACTATATATTATATATTGTATTATTTCTAATTCGATTAATATGTTAGATTACGTTATTTTTGGTCATATGGTTTTGATATTTCCTTCCCCTTTGTCAAGTCAAGTATAGGCGTCTTTTCGTAACCGATGTACTAGCCCAGACCTCCAAAGTACACCGGGTATACTGACTGTACTGTATGCGAACTGCATTCAAATTAATTAGTCTTTGACTTTGACTGTCTAACATATCATAAAAAACAAGGAATTTTTAATACTTGGGATATATTTGAACACTTGGCATATACTGCATTTTATGTTATTGAACTATGAGTTGATTTTATAATTTTTTTTTATCGTCCGTACAAGTGTGCAAGTACTGCAAACTATTTGTATCCTACAGTACATGGAACAGGATTATCTTTGTACTCTTTTTATTGATTAGTATATTACGGTCAATCTTGAGGGAGGGGATATATTTACTTGAGAGGCACCTGATCCTGGCATAGTATAATTGGTACTGCCTAGAATTCCAAATATACGCGATTAAGAGACTCTAGCAATTGCTTCATAACGCTAAATCAATCAATCAATTGCAGTTATTATTGTATTTTTTTATTTAGGTTTATTTTAATAGATAGATTTGATAGTCTATGATGCAGACTGGATTAGCAAAATTTCTAAATTTATTGATGAATCTTGCATCACAACTATATTTGCTTATCCTTGGTATTGGTGTTCTAAAATTTCTTATTTTTAGTAAGAGCTGGCTTTAAATTAATAAATTACTATCCTTCTGATGATCATGAGGCAATAAAATCACAAATTTAGTAGTCTACTTTTTTTTCTGATACAGTTAGTAGATAGTAATATTGGTGACTGATAATGCTACTGAAAGGAATATGCGTTTACAGTATTCTTGAATTTCACTAACTGAAATTGCCGTTCTTCTTTGCTGAATTTAGAGTTATTGAATTGAATTAAAGAATGAATTATAGTTCTTCACTTATTTATATCAAGTTTGGATAGCATAAACGTTACTTACTCGCGGCAGAAGAACGCAAAAATTCAGAAAAGGTAAATGGCGTTGAATAATATCAAGTTGACCTCAATACTTGCGTACGGGTGTATTACTACGAGTATTAATCGGCTATTCGATAACGGCGACAACAAGAATGGGAGCATTCTTGTTACTTATCATGAATCTACTATTGAGTTAATATGTAGGAATATTAATTGAAACTTAACTTCACTCTTGACATCTTGCTTGTAATGATACTAGTTCGCATTACTATTGAGATTGAGATTGAATTCAGTAGACTAACTTATGATTGTCACATTATATCAATACGCTATGCTAACGATTGGATGCAATTAAAGGCTTTCTTTCCCTTATATACAATTTACTATAACTACTCTTTTAACTTAATATCATAATAGCGTAGTTATGTTTATTCTACCTTTATTTTTATACCTACTGTACGTTTCTAGAGTGTATTAGCTAAACTGTTGAAGTTTCCTCCAACGTAATAGTTCTATTCCAAATCATATTCGTAATATCAGTTTGATTTAATTTTATAATCATGCTATCTGTAAACATACACTAACCTTTAATTATAACTAATCTACCTTACTATTAGTATAAAAAAGTAATCTTTTTATCTAATGATATCCAGGTAAAGCTAACAATTTTCATTTCTTAAATTTAGTTTATTACTCGTTAGGCAATTGGAGGAAGTTTGGCTTTTATTAACAGCAACATTAATATACGTATATATATTTACTAGCCCAACAGGAGATTCGTAGCGGAGTAGTATCAGATTAACTAAATTGAAAATATTTCTATCAATAGCGACTTACAAGTATCAAGGTAAGAGGTTAAAAAATCGAAATAAAGCATAGCTTATATTTTTCAAAGTTTTACTTTAATCGATGAGATGGATTTATAGAGAATAGGCTGTTGTAAAAAAATTGTATATTTTGAAATTTAACTTTTGACCATCTCAATAATTAAATTCATAACAAAGATTGTAGATCTAAACTAAAGTGTAAAGATCGAAAAATTAATCATGGGAAGTGGATCATCGACTTGCGCAAGTGATAAATCGGTTGAGATAAAATTAAAAATGAAAGGCAGCAGCTCCATACCAATTCGTAGACCGTCTGCCATCTTAAATGCAGAAATTAATACAAAGCATTTAACTATTAACCCTACCACGGCTTATCGATTAGCAGTAGCAGCTCAAGGCGGTACTGTGAGCACTACCAATACTGGCAATAACTTACCTAAAAAGAATAAAAATCGGATAGTACGTAATCAAAAGTATCAAAAACCTCATTTTGAAATCTTTAAAGCTAGCAATGGTGAAGAATACACTATTTTTGTGAGAACTGACAGTCATAGATTCTATATCAATTGCATTACTCAGGTAAGGAGATAATAAAAAAATTACGTGCAATAGCTATCTAAATGAAAGACGAATATTGTCTTAATTTACGATATTAAATATTATTTTGTCTATGACGATGCCTGATATCGTAAAATCATACTTATTGCTTTCAGCTGATTACATTTTTCACACAATCCAGTGCAGTAGAACTTCTCATCATATATAAGTAGTGGCTTTTCTTATACACAATACTTGTACATTGATATCATACAAGATAGTACTGTCCACAAACATGCGATTTTGTTTTTTATGCGCATATTTTATCAATATAATGTAATGCACCTTTATTGCTGTATTTATTTGTTATATTATATTCATTTACTGTTTAATTGTATTGATTGTTAGATAATTGCTTTACTGCTAAGCTTCCATATTTTTATCTCTTAAATATCAAAAATGGACCGAAGGTTTTATCTGCATACTATAACATTAGAAGAACATAGTTAACTATTAATCAACAACTCCACAAGTTACAATTATCCGTATCGAAACAATTACGCTAGCATCTTTGATTAGCGGCAATTTTTTTGAATTCATCGTATTTTTCTATCCTATACTCACATATCTAACTTCCTACATAAGAAGCTATGATCAATTTCTATAATTAAATATACCGTATATCGCTTTTCGCTCTCCTTATAATCCTTTATAATACAGTCTACCAGCTATCTCTTTTGATAATTTACAGGTACCAGCTGTATTAGAATAACAAATAAGGATTAAGTTACCTTGTTTAGTCTACTATTATTTTCTGTACTCTTCATAAATCCTACTCCGAATGCCTAGTATTTTCAAAGATTAAGGATTACGGTTTCCAAAGTAGTATCTTAAGTTTTATTGATAAATGATCTCCATGACTGCATATAGGTCTTTATTGAAAAGTCTTTTCATCTGTTGTCAAATACTGATAACATGACAAATTTAATAATACAATTTTTCTTTATTGACTTTTAAAAGAATACTCCGCATCATTATCAATCTACATTATAAAGGAACATTTTTTTACGCTTTAAAGTAAATTAATGTCCAAGACTGCATTTGCCAATAATTTAATTGCTGATTAGATAGCTAATTGGAGTTAAAATAAGATAGGCTTTAGAAGGGACATTGGCTCATACATCGATTCATACATTTACGTATCTCATGTAGCTATCAGGCTGTAATGCAAGAGAATACTTTTGTACGCTTGAAATTAAGTCGATATCAAAAGATTGCACAGACTATTAATTTAACTACTAACTAGAGAGCCGACAGGAATTAAATAAGATCCGTAAATTAACTTTAGAACGGATATTGACTAATTAATACTCCTGAAGTACAACAATATAATAATACAGGATGTACAACGTAGTCTTGTTAATGTTTGTTTTCATCTCTTTAAACTGCTATGAAATAATTCTATATGTAAAAATTTTAGTCAAAAGGGAATTGAAACGTATTCTTAGTTTAATTTATGCAGTTCATTATCTAAGCTTATTTAATGATATTAGAGGCTTCTAGTATACGCGTATGGATATGACACGTATCTACAAGAACAAAAAAATTATAATATACAGTACGTGTTCTTCGTACACTAGGCTTGATGAGTTTGTAGCCTTTGTAAAAGGTATTTATTTAATCATGCATCTGTAAAGAAAAATAAAAAAGTTATTGTTTTATATTGGATTGATAATAATTTAATTAGATCATGATGATTGATAAAAACGGATTGATTTTGAGATTTCTCTTCTCGAAAGTATTGATGGCAATGATGTAATTAAGAAATTAGATAATGATATGAATATAATATGATTGGAGTTGAGACTGTGCGAGAAGTTAGCTCTGTTGCAGCTAAAGACAAATTTTATTAAGTATGATAAAAATGATCACTTTCCTTATGCTTTTAGGTACAAAATACACGCGTGTATATGTATGTACATACATGTACTGTTTGTACGCCTATTACAAGGGTACATTGATGATTGCTAACAAAAAAGTAAATTAGTTTATTAATTTAAGGAGATTTTATTTTATCCACTGTGTAGAGTATTTTAATACTCTGGGTTCTAGTAATTCGAATGCAAAATGCTTAAATACCATTTTCCTCGCTTGTATTCCATTTGTTCAGCTTAGATTTTGCGTTACGTTTAATGATCTCTATAATTCATTACGAAAATTTTTAATTTGCAATCTTTGCACGATATTTATGAAATTAATGAGCCTATCGCACGAATTAGTCATTTCTTGAACTGTTATGGAGTGAGTAGATTAATTTATCTGATCCAACGTGGTATAATTTGTAGTGAAAATTTCTGTCTAGGTTGGTACGATACACTCAATTTTTGGTTAAGGTGTTATTTATCTAGAAAAGATGCCTGTTCATTTATATATTGTTATCAAGTGATTGATGAAGATAGAAAGAGACTCTTTTATTTTGCATGCTTTTATGGTTAAATAATAGATGTAAAAATTACAAGGCTAGATTTTTATTATGGGAATCATTTATTTTTGTGCCGCTTCCGGAATGAAGAAGTATGTATCTAGCATGGGTTTTATAGGGTGAATACAGACTATAGAATGATTTATTATTTATTAACAGTGAGATCAAAGGTAATAACTACAAAAGTGTACTTGAAAAGATTTTAATTGGAGATGCTATTTAATTAAACGAATCGAGACAGCCGATTTGACTTTTATTTTCGTTCAGTTTTGCACGAGATGATCTATTGTATACTTATCTTCATTACCTTCGATACGGACTGGTATAATTGGCTGACTTAAATAGCGGAGAAAGTAGTAATTAATTTATTGTTAATTACACACTACATCTATACCGATAAATGTATTTATGTAGCTACCCTTAAATCGATGAAATAATATTCTGAAAGGTCTGCGTGAATATTATTTCAAGATTAAATCATTTCATACAATGCTAAATGTTGATATATTTTTAGTTTACCAGCTCTTTTTGATCATAAACTAGTGTCTTGACTATTATCAGCACTGCAGATATTGCTATAAACATATAAGTTACTTGTATAGTAGTCTTTTAATGTTTATAAACCTATATTTCGTCTTTTGATAGGAATGGAAACCTATTGACTCGTCATGGTATGATCATGGGACATTTTTTGCCTGCGAGCAACATGAAGCGGAGGTAAAGTGACTATCATTTACGAAAAATGTAATTATGATATCATTTAATGGTAAATCAACGACTAGCATAAATATATAGTACATTATATGGCTTATTATCCTCTTCTATAAGGAATACATTGTATAAATTTTTACTGAACCATAAAGTGGTCGCGAAATTTATTAATACCCTAGTAACTATCTTAAGTCATTAAATTGCGCCAAAATCTGATGCTACGGGAAATTTTTTAGTATTGTATAACGAAACTAACTTTAAAGAATCCTTGAAATTTTGGATAATACTGTCCTAGACGTGATCTAGAAACTGTCAAATTTTTTAGTATTGTATATCGAAACTAATTTTATAGAATCCTTGAAATTTTGGACAATACTGTCATAGACATAATCTAGAAACTGTCAATCTTCATTGTTCGTCAACTGACTGCCTGTTCTTTATGATATAGTGTAGTAGTTGCTGTAATATCTTATTTAAAAATAATTTAAATTTATGAGGTGTTGGCATATCTAGAATTTAAATATCATTAGTTATTCACTCTAGCGTTAAAAATTAGATAAAACACTCTACATTATCATTAATTACTTCTAAAATATTGAAAATAACGTAGAATACTAGTAGTGTATCACTTGTGAGTAGCTAAGCTTTAATAATATCATGATATACGAGTACGCAGAATACTATTATTATATTAGCCATTATAATGGTATTTTCTCATTGTTGTTGCTTTAATCAACAATTGCGGCTATTCATTTTAACATGAACTCCTTTTATTTCAATGAAGCGATAATGTTATTTGTGTCGTGGAGGTTACTCTACTTTAATTTTAGATTATGAATTATAAGGCACATTTCGTAGCACGTATTGATCGGTTATTACGGTGACATGAAAATATGTGAATAACTTTGTTTG